TATTGATTTTTTTACAGAGAGGAAGGGAGAGGGATAGAGTTAGAAACATCGATCAGCTGCCTCCTGCACACTCCCCACTGGGGATGTGCCCGCAACCAAGGCACATGCCCCCGACTGGAATCAAACCTGGGACCCTTCAGTCCGCAGGCCGATGCTCTATCCACTGAGCCAAACCAGTTAGGGCTGGAAGAGATATTTGTATACACACACACACACACACACACAAAATACTTGTACCCAGGGTTCATGACAGCATTATTCACAGTAGCCATGAGGTAGAAGCAGCCCAAGAGTCCCCGGAGGGAGTAAATGAATAAAATGTGGATATATAATGCAATATTCAGCCTTAAGAAGGAAGGAAAATCAGACACATGCTATAACATAGACGAACTTATATTGAGTGAAATAAGCCAGTCACAAAAAGAGAAATAGTGTATAATTCCACTAACATGCTATCCAAAGTAGTTGAATTCAGAGACAGAAAGTGGTGATTTCTGGAATTGGGAATTTCCTGTGTTTGGGCTATACAGTTCTTTCCGGGCTGCTTTGTAGCAATTTGAGAGTTTTGAGCATCACCTTCTGCTTGAACTCTTTGGGGACAGAATCTAGGAGGAACTTGAGGCTGAGATTAGACTTCCAATGGACTCACCAGAGCAGCTCAACCCACCCTCGGCCCGGAAGTTTTCTCAGATGCCCGATGAAGAAGATTCAGCTGGCACGCAGGCTGTCTCAGAAGTGCTAGCAAAGAACCTTAGTGACTTCACTCTCAACCCTAGTACTACATTCCTTTCCGCCAAAACGTTCGCCCCAACAGCAGGACACAGAAAAAACTTCAAGGGTTTTGGGCTGGGGCTGAGTTAAGGCACGAGGAGATGTGGAGTGAAGACAGTGGCAAGGGTTTGGAGAGAAATGAAAGAAAGGTTGTGATTAAGGATGACGAGGATTGAGGCTATTATATACCACGTATCTGAATCAATCAGGAGGCCCAAGATTTAAATGTAGCTGTAGCTATTGACTATTACATGGAGATCCTTCTAATGGTATTATTGAGAATTATGACATGAAGTCAATTTAGGTATACACCTTATTCTTGTACGTATTTGAATTGTAACAAATATTTTGATGTGCTGTTTCAATTTTTAGTAGCAAATGTGTGTAGAGGGCATCTTATTAAAATTTTGAGGCATAGCTAAAAAAAAAGAAAAAAAAAAGGAAGTGGTGATTTCCAGGAGCTGGTGGGAGTAGGGGATGGTAAGCTGTTTAATGGACATAGAATTTCAGTTTTTGCAAGATAAAGAGTTCTGGAGATTGGTTGGACAACAATGTGCATGAACTTATTACTGAACTGTACACCTAGAAATGGTTCAAATGGTAAATTGCATTAATGTGTATTTTAGCACAATTAAAAATAATACACAGACTAAAGAAGTACTCTCCCAAGACTTTATCTCACTTTTTCTCAACAGGCCTCGGAAAACCATGGCTGCTGCTAAGGGAATGGCCATCGGCATCGACCTGGGCACCACCTACTCGTGCGTGGGCGTGTTCCAGCACGGCAAGGTGGAGATCATTGCCAACGACCAGGGCAACCGCACCACCCCCAGCTACGTGGCCTTCACCGACACCGAGCGGCTCATCGGGGATGCGGCCAAGAACCAGGTAGCCATGAATCCTCAGAACACTGTCTTTGATGCCAAACGCCTGATTGGCAGAAAATTTAATGATCCTGTAGTACAATCAGATATGAAACTATGGCCTTTTCAAGTAATCAGTGAAGGAAGCAAGCCCAAAGTATTGGTATCCTACAAAGGGGAGAAAAAGGCTTTCTACCCTGAAGAAATCTCCTCTATGGTGCTGACTAAGATGAAGGAGACTGCTGAGGCTTTTTTGGGCCATCCCATCAGCAACGCTGTGATCACTGTGCCAGCCTATTTCAATGACTCTCAACGCCAGGCCACCAAGGATGCAGGCGTGATTGCAGGTCTCAATGTGCTAAGAATTATCAATGAACCAACAGCTGCTGCCATTGCCTATGGCTTAGATAAAGCAGGTCAGGGCGAGCGACAGGTCCTGATCTTTGATCTGGGTGGAGGCACATTTGATGTGTCCATCCTGACCATAGATGATGGGATTTTTGAGGTGAAGGCCACGGCCGGGGACACCCACCTGGGAGGGGAGGACTTTGACAACAGGCTGGTGAACCACTTCGTGGAGGAGTTCAAGCGCAAGCACAAGAAGGACATCAGCCAGAACAAGCGAGCCGTGAGGCGGCTGCGCACCGCCTGCGAGAGGGCCAAGAGGACCCTGTCGTCCAGCACGCAGGCCAACTTGGAAATTGATTCACTTTATGAAGGCATCGACTTCTACACGTCCATCACTAGAGCCCGGTTTGAAGAGCTGTGTGCAGACCTCTTTAGGGGCACGCTGGAGCCCGTGGAGAAGGCTCTTCGGGATGCCAAGATAGATAAGGCGAAAATCCATGACATTGTTTTAGTGGGGGGCTCTACCCGCATCCCCAAGGTGCAGAAGCTGCTGCAGGACTACTTTAATGGCCGTGACCTCAACAAGAGCATCAACCCGGACGAGGCGGTGGCCTACGGGGCGGCAGTGCAGGCAGCCATCCTGATGGGGGACAAGTCTGAGAATGTGCAGGACCTGCTGCTGCTGGACGTGGCGCCCCTGTCGCTGGGCCTGGAGACAGCCGGGGGCGTGATGACTGTCCTGATCAAGCGCAACTCCACCATCCCCACCAAGCAGACACAGATCTTCACCACCTACTCGGACAACCAGCCGGGCGTGCTGATCCAGGTGTTCGAGGGCGAGAGGGCCATGACGAGGGACAACAACCTGCTGGGGCGCTTTGACCTGACTGGAATCCCTCCTGCACCCAGGGGAGTTCCTCAGATTGAAGTGACTTTTGACATCGACGCCAATGGCATCCTGAATGTCACAGCCACGGACAAGAGCACCGGCAAGGCCAACAAGATCACCATCACCAATGACAAGGGCCGCCTGAGCAAGGAGGACATCGAGCGCATGGTTCTGGATGCTGAGAAATATAAAGCTGAAGATGAGATCCAGAGAGAGAAAATTGCTGCAAAAAATGCCTTAGAATCCTATGCTTTTAACATGAAGAGTGCTGTGAGTGATGAAGGCTTGAAGGGTAAGATTAGTGAGTCTGATAAAAAGAAAATTCTGGATAAATGCAACGAGGTTCTTTCGTGGCTGGAGGCCAATCAACTGGCTGAGAAAGATGAGTTTGATCATAAGAGAAAGGAACTGGAGCAAGTGTGTAACCCAGTCATTACAAAACTCTATCAGGAGGGATGCACTGGGCCTACCTGTGGAACTGGGTACACACCTGGGCGGGCTGCCACAGGCCCCACCATTGAAGAAGTAGATTAATCTTATCTGGAGCTGGAGGGTCCTAGGGTGAATTTGTTCCCTTCATCTTCAAACATTGTTATGACTTTTGAATTGACTGGACCTGAACCTAAGTTACCATCATTTTGGAATTCTAATGGAGGAGTCTCATGTGCCATCTTTTCACACTCCAATGTCCCATTTCTGACTTTGGAATCAGACTCTTAGGAAAACTAGGCCCTTCTCTGAACCATTTGATGAATCTGTCTGTTATTTAGTTCCAGCCTCACCAACTTTCTTCTTCCTGTGTGGATGGTTATTTGTCACTCAGTAAATTTGTTCCTGAAACAAATTTCTTCTGGTATCATTAGACTGTGAGTGTATCTTGAAAAGAAAAGGAAAGTTCATGGAGAGAGCATGTGTGGTCTGATTGTGAGCTAATTGTGAACGATTAAGTTGGTAAGTTGGTAAGGACAAAGTATTTGACATTTCATGAGCTAATTGTTTCAAGCAGGAAGATGCTTTGCCCATCAGGCACTTTCAGCCCCAGCTGGAGCAGTTGCTAATTGATTACTACTTATATTCAATGATAGACTAGGGTCAGTGGTTCTCAACCTTCCTAATGCCGCGACCCTTTAATACAGTTCCTCATGTTGTGGTGACCCCCAACCATAAAATTATTTTCGTTGGTACTTCATAACTGTAATTTTGCTACTGTTATGAATCGTAATGTAAATATCTGATATGCAGGATGTATTTTCATTGTTCTCGACCCACAGGTTGAGAACCGCTGCAAGGAAGCTTAGTCATTGCTTATGTACACTATTGGGTCAATTACATGTTGGTTTCTTCTCTGCAGTTGGCATTTATAGGGTTGAGTTTCCTGTCCTCTCATCCTGCTCACTGCTGCATCGGCAGAATGCTGCTATATGTTGGCATTTAGCTGGAAATAGCATTTAGAACTGTCCAGACCTTAGGACCCTTGTCCTAGCTAAAAATGAGGATGGCTATGTCCATCCTCCAGGCAGTCTGCTTAGTTTCACTCAGCCCATCACAGGACAGCCCCGGGCAAAAGTGTGTAAGAAGTGTGGCCTGAGATGGGTCCTTGAGAGAAATATGTTTATTGGGAGGGAGCCTTTAATAAAACCAAGATTTGTGCTCAGGCTTCTGATCTTGGGGGCTCAACATGTCTTTTTCTTCTAATCTTCACCGGAGGATATTTTTCCATTGATTTTTAGAGAGAGTGGGAGAGGGAAAGAGCAATATCAATGTGAGAGAAACACATCAATTGGTTGGCTCCTGCAGGAGCCTGACCAGGGCCTGTCCGGGAGGAACCTGAAACCGAAGTACGCCCTTGACTGGAATCTTTTGGTCCACAGGCCTACGCTCTATCCACTGAGCCAAACAGGCAGGGCAGCTCAACATTCCTTTTAATTTTTAAGGAAGTGTAGCATATATAGAAAGTGTACGAATTCTGAAGTCCCACCAACTCCCCAGCAGCTTTCAATAGGAAGTGTCTGCAGGGAGGAGCTCAGGGAGACGCTACATCCCACCCGGCGGCCGCGCCTGCGCAGTGGCGCCCGCGGCGGAGGCTGTCGGGAGGCAGGAAGCACCGCCCCGCGCTCTGGCCCCTCCCCCGAGCCCTTCCTCGCGGATCCCCGTGCTGGCGGGCGCCCCGCTTCTGCACCCGGAGCTCCCGGTGGCACTCCCGCCCCGCCCCGCGCCGCCCCAGGGGCCGCCCCGCGCTCGGTTCCCCCCCGGCCTCTGGCCCGCGGCACCAGGCCCTCGCTTTCCCGGTCCGGCCGGCAGCCCGCCGCGCGAGCACCATGGTAGGGACTGTGACGTCACAAGGAGGCGCCCTCGGGGAGAGCGCGCGGGTCGGTCGGTTGGGGTCGGGGTGGGGGTCCCGGCCGCGTCGGGGGTTCCCTCCGCCCTTAGTTCCTGCACCTCAAGTTCCCCGAGAAGACATCTGGGAGCACAGGGCTTTTTTCCCTTTTAAGGGAAAATTTAAGAGCCCGCGGGAGAGGGGAAGTCAGACCTCAAGGAGCAGGTCCTCGACGGAGCCCAGGCTTGGGGGGGAGGGTTCCTGGGGAGGGGCAGGGCCCCGGGGAGGTGGCGGACTGAGCGAGCCGGGAGCTCGGGCCCCGGGTCGGTGAAGAGCGCGCGGCCTTTGGGCTCAGGATGCCCGCCCGCGCCCCGCACGCCCTCGGTGGAGGCTGAGACCTGCGCGGGGAGGCGGGTCGGACCCGGCGGAGCGAAGGCCGCTCCCCGCCTTCTCTTCCCCGGTGACGGTTTCCCCTCTCGCCCAGTAGCTCTTCTACTCCTTCTTCAAGTCCCTTGTGGGCAAGGATGTGGTCGTGGAACTCAAGAATGACCTGAGGTAGGTTCCTTTTCAGCAAGTCTGTAGGGGGTGGATGTGCCCAGAGCCCTGAGACCTATTTGTTTATTTATAAATATATTTTTATTGATTTCAGAGAGGAAGGGAGAGGGAGAGAGAGGAACATCAATGACAAGAGAGAATCATTGATCGGCTGCCTCCTGCACGCCCCCCATTGGCGATGGAGCCTGCAACCCGGGCCTGTGCCCTGACCGGGAATCGAACCATGACCTCCTGGTTCATAGGTCAGTGCTCAACCACTGAGCCCCACCGGCTGGCCCTGAAACCTCTTTAATTGAACAAGTGTTATTTGAGGTCTGGGTAAGGTGGGAGAGATAAAGAAATAAATGACTTGTGCCTTAAGCTGACAGATTAGCCTTGTTGGAGTTGTTTCTTGTATTTGAAAAAAAAAATACAAAGAAATACATATCCTATATATAAAGAATTAGAACAGAGGTCAGGGAGTGAAGGCATCACCATTTTTCCTGATTAAATTATATACTCCTTTGACCCAACTTCTAGAAATGTAAGAGTCAGTTCCATAAGCAAAGATGTAGGTACAAAGACATTTCTAAGTTTTCTTTGCAGTAACCAAAAATGGAAAACAAACAGCTATCAATAGGGACTGGGTTAAACTGTGGGCTTCCATGTTCCACAGCGGTCACACCGGAATGACGTGTGTTGATGTGGAAAGTTGTTGTAAGATAGTGTACGTGGCATAATCTCCCCTTTGCTAAAGAAAATGTAAAGGGTAAACAGGAGACCAGTGCCTTCTATCTGTATTGCTTTTCCAACCCTTACCCCTTATATCGTAACTCCTAATCATCCTTCAGAATGTGGGATTCAGTGCTGTATCCTTGGACTTTTCCTGGTCTTTCTAGCCAAGTAGGTCCTTCTACCAGAGTCTTATTTTCTTCGTAGTGGGTGCTTCTCAAATTGTGATTTCAGAAAAATACGTTTACTGTTTATGGCCTGTCCTTCAGGCAGGGCCCAGGACCCCGTTTAAGCTCACCATTGAGCCCGGTATATAGTAGGAGTAATAAATGTGTGCGAAAGTAAAGCAGCTAACATTTGAGAGCCTCCTATTGACTAGGCACTCTTCTGCATACACTTAACTCATTGCATTCTCATAACACCCCTGTGACATATACCGCTGTTGCTGCTTTACATGTGAGGAAATGGAAGCTTGGATAGGTTAAGAAACTTGCTCAAGTCTATGCAACTAGTAAATGACAGCCAGAATGGAAATCAATTCTGTCTGGATTATCTTATTATTATTTTTTTATTAGTGCAAGAGGAAGGGGGAGAGAGACATCAGTTTGTTGTTCCACTTATTTATGCGTTCATTGGTTGATTCTTGTGTGTGCCCTGTTGGGGGATCAAACCTGAAACCTTGACGTATCAGGACGGTGCTCTACCAACTGAGCTGTCCAGCCAGGGCTTTTTAAAAAAGTTATAAACAGGATCATATTCTCTATGCAGTTTTGAAACTTGCTTTTCACTTAGCAGATGTAGATATTTCTCATCAGTAAAGGTGATCTTTAACTTTCTTAATGTCTGCATGGCATCTTTGTTAACCAAGACCTTGCTGTTGGACAGTTAGGTGGTTTCCAATTCTTTAAAAAAATATTTTAAAAATAGGTTTTTATTTCCTAGCCAGTTTGGCTCAGTGGATAGAGCGTTGACCCATGGACTGAAGGGCTCCCAGGCTCGATTCTGGTCAAGGGCATGTACCTTGGTTGCGGGCTCAATTCCCAGCCCTGGTTGGGGCACGTGAGGGAGGCAACCTATCAATGTGTCTCTCTCACATTGATGTTTCTCTCTCTCTTTGTCTTTCCCCTTCCCTTCCACCTTCTCTAAAAGTCAATGGAAAAATTTCCTCGGGTGAGGATAAAAAGTGTTTGTATTGATTTTAGAGAGAGAAGAAGGGAGAGGGATGGAGATAAAACATCGATGAAAGAGAAACATCAATATTGATAGGCTGCCTCTGCACAGCCCCCCCATCTGGGACTGAGCATGTGCTCTGACCAGGAATTGAACCGGTGACCTCTTGGTCCACAGATTGACACTCATCCACTGAGCCACACTAGCTAGGCGGTTTCCAATTCTTTAGGGAAAAAAATCCTTTAAATAAGACATACATTTAAAATAGTGATACGGGCCACACCGGTTTGGCTCAGTGGATAGAGCGTCGGCCTGCGGACTGAAAGGTCCCGGGTTCGATTCCGGTCAAGGGCATGTACCTTGGTTGCGGGCACATCCCCAGTAGGAGGTGTGCAGGAGGCAGCTGGTCGATGTTTCTCTCTCATCGATGTTTCTAACTCTCTATCCCTCTCCCTTCCTCTCTGTAAAAAAATCAATAAAATATATTTAAAAAAAAAAAAAGACTTCTTTAAAAAAAAATAAATAAATAAAATAAAATAGTGATACGGGCACAGGCAGTTTGACTCAGTTGATTGGAGCGTTATCCTCTATGCCAGTGATCTGCAAACCGCGGCTCGCGAGCCACATGCGGCTCTTTGGCCCCTTGAGTGTGGCTCTTCCACAAAATACCACGTGCGGGCGCGCACGTACAGTGCGATTGAAACTTCGTGGGCGAGTCTATTTTGAAGAAGTGGCGTTAGAAGTGGGGGGTGTCGGTTGGGCGACGGGAGACGCGGGGGCCGCGGGATATGCAGCGTGGGGGAGGTACATGGTTTTGAGGTACGTTCGCTGAGGTCGACCCTTCCAACTCTCCCATCCACACTTGTCTTATCTGAAACAAGTATACAAGACGAGTGTGGATGGGAGAGTTGGAAGGGGTTGACCTCAGCGAACGTACCTCAATCAGCTTGAGGACGTTTTTAGCAAAGGCCAGTTTAGGAGTACCCTAATTAAGTTAATAACAATGTACCTACCTATATAGTTTAAGTTTAAAAAATTTGGCTCTCAAAAGAAATTTCAATCGTTGTACAGTTGATTATTTGGCTCTGTTGACTAATGAGTTTGCCGACCACTGCCCTATGCCAAAAGGTTGCAGGTAGGACACCTGCAGGAAGCAACGTATTGATGTTTCTCTTACTCTCTCCCTCCCTTCCTCTCTAAAAATTAATAAAACCAGCCCTGGCCATTGTTGCTAGGTGGTTAGAGTGTCGACTTATGAACCAGGAGGTCACGGTTCAATTCCCAGTCAGGGCACATGTTCGGATTGTGGGGCTTGATCCCCAGTTGGGGGTGGGGGGCGGGGCATGCAACGGTGGATGGTTCTCATCATTGATGTTTCTCTCCTTTTTCCTTTATGAAATCTATGAAAATATATTTAAAAAAAAAAACCAATGGAGAAAATATCCTCAGGTGAAGATAAAAAAATAAATCAATAAAAACATTTCCTTAGGTAAAGATTTTAAAAACAATAATTAAAAAAGTGATACCTATTACCTGATTGTCCTTTAGAAAGTTTGAATCAATGTATTCTCTCCCAGCAGTGTCTTCCACATTTCTATGAGATAATTGCTTAATGGGAGAAACATTGACATGGCAGAGAGTGGTGAGGAGAGGGACTTCTACATCAGAGATTTCATTTATGATATGGGCAAGGCATGTGGTACTGATGGCATTGAGATGAGGGCTGTATAGAGAGACAGTGTGGGACCCCATACCAACCCTAGGCAATTCTGTGAGATGATTTGTTTTTATTTTCCTCTTTTCTCCTCCCTGGGTCTTACACATGGCAAAAAACTTATGTTCTAGCTCCAGGTCCTAAAGCAAGGACTGTAAGATTCGAAGGAATTCCATTGGATTGGGAGAAGAGCTTTCTCTCAGGCTTGTCAGACCACTTTTGTGCCAGATGTCTCGCTCTCAATGAACTGAATGAATAATACCACCTTATACAATTCCTGGAAGTTACTCCACCGCTGCACATGGTGGTAAAGTGCTATCAAAGGCTGTTCAACAGCCAGGGATGTGGCAAAACCACCACCGAGGCAGCAGGCCTCAGACACTGGATTTCAAAGACTTAGAATTTTACAAAAATAGGGTCCAGCAGAGAACTGCCAACTTTATTTTTGGCAAGATAAGGACATTTTTAAAAACTGCCATTTATTACAATAATTTCATTTTAAAAATTTAATACCAAAAAAATAGTAAGGACAATCAAAGAACAGCTGTTTTTTAGTCCTGGCCAGGTAACTCAGTTGGTTAGAGCTTCATCCCCATATATGAGGTTGTAAGTTCGATCCCTGGTCAGGACACATACGAGAATTAACCAATGAATGCATAAATAAGTTGATTTAAAAAAAAAAAAAGATGTTTCACCTGGCCTGTGTGGGTCAGTGGTTGAGCGTTCACCCATGAACCAGGAGGTCACAGTTCAATTCTCTGTCAGGGAACAAGCCTGGGTTTTGGGCTTAATTCCCAGTAGGGGGCATGCGGGAGGCAGCCAATCAATCAATGATCCTCCTATTATTGACTAGAGGCCCGGTGCACAAAAATTTGTGCATTTGGCGGGGGGAGGGGGGGGCAGGTCCCTCAGCCCGGCCTGTGCCCTCTTGCAGTCTGGAACCCTGCTGGAGATGACCACCTGCTGGCTTA